TCAGACTCAGGGAAGACTTTATACTGATGAATAAGGTGACCAAGTTTGATAAAGTTTGGAATAGAATTAGTAAAGTTATTATGCACACAATAACAATTATTAACGACGACGACGATGACGACAACAACAACGACAACGCCGGACAAAATTTTTCCCTTAATATACCTTTCCCTTCCATCTTTGATGGTACGGGCAAGGTAAAAAAGGCTTAGAGAGTATTCCTATGTGTATGAGTGTTGCAGACATATTAGAAATTAATTCAATTAGCTTTTCAAAGAAGAAGCTTGGAGACTAATATTTGTCTGCTATTTGAGATGCACGATGTGAAAACAATGTTATACACAGTATTGAAATTCATAATACTTCATAATACCCCAAACTGATCAGGTCTGTGCATTGTCCTAAAACATCTATGTACCAAGTTTCATTGAAATGGAATGATTGGCACTTGAGTTATCAATGGAAAACCTAAAAATTGACTAATTATGCAAATTGAGTAATTAATAAGCATGGATTTTTACCCAAAACTTGTAAGGCCTGTGCATTGTTCCTTGAACACCTATGTACCAAGTTTCATTGAAATCTTACCAGTGGTTCTTGAGATGTCCATGGAACAGACATAAATACAGACATAAATACATCTGTTGCTAATTCAGTTTTTGTACTGATTGTACTCATTGGTTCCTTCAAATTGAAAGTCTTCATGAATAATTTATAATATGATTGGCAGTCAATGAGTGTTAAAACTTCAAGTATGACAGCTTTCAGGCCCCTTAACTCAGTGTTTAATTACCGTATTACCCCGGGCACGCGTCCAGGGGCCTGAACATACAAAATCGGGGAAAAATGGGGGTGGGCGCTTACCCGAGGACCACCCCAAACAAAATTTTAAAAAGTTGTCTTTGTGATCGTATGATAAGGTCAAATAAAGGAATGCTTTCGTACACTTTGTACACGTACTTATTTCTTGATTTATGCGAGGTTTCAATAAACGTGAGCACTCGCTTGTAATCCAAGATGGCGATGACCTCATTAGCATAATTTTGTTCACGCACGTATTGATACATCGCATCGTAATTACTGAAGAATAGCAGACAGGGTTATGAAACAAATAAACCTTTTATTACTGATGTGAAATGTTTACAAACTATTGTGAATACATAAACATATCCAAATGGCGATACATAAAAAAACAGACTGAAAATAAACTCTGGTCGACCTCATTAACATGATTTATTCACGCACCCAAACTAGTGACAAAATTACAAAAATAACGATGATGCAACAAGTTCCCATCATCGGAATGCCTCATTATGGTTATCGTAATGGACTTGAGGTCGGCAAAATGTTTTTTCTTCAACGACAGAAAAATAATCCACATGACCGTAATGCCATAGCTGTGATGAAGGATGGAAAGAAAGTAGCAAGTTTACGACGTGATGTCTCAAAAGTGCTAGCTCCCGTTATGGATTTACAGTCAGCGAAATACTACGTTTTGAAACCAAGGCTAAGTGTTTCAAACCACTCACCAAGGTATGGATCGTTGCAAAATTGGATTCATCGTGAATGAAGAGAAAGCAGAACGTGTGCGCCACATGCTGCGTGGTTCATCTTACGTCGTTAAGTTCCAATGAGTTTTTACGTAAAAACACAAACAAAGCGGCCCTTTTCAGGGTCACCACACACTCCAAAAGGAGAACTACCGTAACAAACACACTATTTAAATAAATCGAACATGTTCGTTTTTGACAAATAAAACTTTATTGTTGACCCCATTCTTGGCTAAAAATCACCCTGGGCGTTTAACCGAGGATGTCCCCAACATGTACCTTTTTGTGAAAACAGGGGGTGGGCGCTTGCCCAAGGAGGGGCGTGTGCCCGGGGTAATACGGTAAGCTTGATTGAGTAGAGATATGTAGGCTGAAGGTAACTTGCATTTGCAAAATAAGGAAATAAAGTCAAGGTACCTTGTGATAAATTTTCTAAACTCTGCATCATATCATCAGTAGGTACAGACTGCTGTAGTGTTTCACCACCAGTCCATGATTGTCTGGTTTGCTGGGATGATTCATACTGCGTATCCATTTCCTGGGGATCTGCAACAATCCAGAATATTAAAATCATATATTTTTTTAAAATTAAGTTCAAGGCTCAATTGCAAGACAATAAATAACAAATAAATAGGACTGATAAGTAGAAAGCCATTAGAGATGGTGGATCCCTTGGCATCTCTATAACAAGTAAGCCATCAGAGATGGCTGATCCTTCCCTTTTTAGTGAGGTCACATGACTACATGTATATATGATCATCAAATACGTTGACCAGATCTAGTATGCAATATCTTCAATATAGCACTGAGTGAATGTCTCCTGTTACGACTTTGGATGACACGCAGATGTAGTGGGATGCTGATAATCACACTACCCCATGGATAATAAATACATGTAGTAAATAACAAAAACAATAAACTACATAGTTTAACTGTATGAAGCAAATTTTGGTAAATTCATGGCTAAATTTCTGAGCTAATATTTTGCAAAATTTGTTTTGAACTGATTCCCTCAAAAACTACATTTTAGTTCATGCGAAAATGCAAATATTCCTTGGGGCGGGATTATGTCACAGAACATTCTATGTTACTAAGATGCGCACCATTGTACCGTGAATTTCTATAGGCACTACGTGGGATGCTGCGGAAAGCAAACTGATTGAAACGCATGTAAATTGGTAAAGTATCAGATGCACAGATAAAACTATGAACCAAATTATTCTGAATACCCAATTGCAGCTAGCTAACAAGTTTTAAACATTATCATGAAAGGGGGCTGTTTAAACTAAAGTTTGGTTTTCATCAAAAGAAGAACTTTCAAAAAGAGAATAGAAAATATTATTTTCACCACAATTGAACTTGGTGAAGGTTACTTGCTGGTAAGTTCAAATACATGTCTGTATACCTTTTTGTTGATTAGGGTCTGGAAGTATTTCTACCATGACTTTATCACCATGCTGTAACGGCACAGTGTCACCGTCTTTTCCTACGTCTGCTGGTTTCAATTCTCGAGGCGGGAAGCCATACTTGATTTTCTGTCTCTCTTTAGGTACATTCAATTCTGTTTCAATCTTGTCCTGCAGTTGTTGGTATGTAATAGCAACGTCCAAAGACATCATAGACTGCAATAATAAATAATAAATATATAGCATCGTAGTATAGTATAGTAGCTTAGAATAGCTTAGATGAGCAGTAAAGTGTACAATGTAGCTATACAATGTCATTATGTCCATTAATTCAAAAAGTGGGCATCCAAAAATCAAAAATACACAAGAGGTTTATCTGGCAGTGAACAGATTAAAGATCACACATAATATCAGTACCCACCTGTCTACCATCTGATGTAGAAACCCTTATCTTTTTACCAGTTGGCTTGGTTGGGGGCAGGCTTTGTGCTTTTTCTTCCTCTATTGGTCCCTTTTTCCCAGCTGTATGCACTTCTTTTTTAGCAGCTTGTTGTTGTTTTGCCCTCCATTCCTCTTGGTGTTTTCTTTTTTCTTCTTCAAGAGTGGCTCGTCGTTGCTGTAAAGGTGCATTGGTTTCCACTCTCTGTTTTATTTCTTTCTCTTTCTCATTTAAAGTCAGTTCTTCTTTATGAAAGGTTTTACTCTGAAAA